CTTAATTTTAATTTAAATAATACAGCTATGAGCAGGCACACTGTTTCCATCCAAAAGGGAGATTGAGAACCATTGTAATAAAACACATTTTATAACAAGTCCATTCTTTGTACCACTACAGGATTTCACAGAAAGATGAGGAAATCCAGTCCCTAAAGGCCTGTGTAGCTGTTCTGGAAACAGAAAGGAAAGGGTGAGTTTACTTTGTATCTTTATTTCAAACCTTTACCACAACACTTACTTTTACTTTTAGGGATTTGATTAAAGAATTCAAAAATGATCACTCATTCTAACAGTATCTTCTTTGGATAATATAATGACAGGGAGAGAACTGAGGCACAGGATAAGATCAAAGACCTGGAGAACCGCCTTGTACATCAGGCGGCAAACACACAACACCAGTGAGTTGTATGGTTCATGATGAAACTCATCACACAATTAAGCAATGACTCTTACTCATCAATCATTCATTCACTTGGTTCTTACTCACCCTCACCTTCTCACTCCAACAATTGCCCTTTCATTTGTGCACTCGGTTACTCCACAGTTTACCATATCACTCACTCACACTGTGGAATGTCAGGTTAATTTAAATAAAGTTTTTAATAATTCTGATAAGGGTTACATAAGAGAAAGATCAATAAGATTATTGTTTTTTTGTTGTTAAAATAAATAACAGCTATAAGCAGGTCACACTTTTGTCATTCAAAAGAGAGATTCAGAACGATTGTAATAAAGCACATTTAATAACAAATCCATTCTTTGTACCACAACAGGATGTCACAGAAAGATGAGGAAATCCAGTCCTTAAAGGCTCGTGTAGCAGTTCTGGAAACAGAAAAGAAAGAGTGAGTTATATTTATTTCAAACCTTTAACAAAGCCCTTTTTAGGCATGAAAAGGTACAATATATTAACGGTTTTTAAATACTTAAAATATAAAACTTTTTAAAAGATTTTAAAAGTTTCTTAAGATTTTTTATTTATTTTTTTTAAACAAGCGTTTTGTGTTGACTTCATAGCTTCTATCGTAGCATTTGGGGCTATAATAGGATGCCTAGACCTGTTTTTTTATTATTTCTATTTTTTTCTCCCTGTCACTTCACATCTTTTCTGAAAAAATTTGAGAACCGACAAATTGAATTGGTGTAGCCTTAGCAATAGGTTAAGCGATGTATGTTTCAACAGTATGGAGCTAGGTATGAATAACTTACAGAATTGATGGTAAGTCTTTTCTATCTAAATTGTCGGTTTATGATGTTTACATGTATCTTCGCAAAGGGAAACAAATTGTTTTTGCTCTGTTTCTTCTTCTTCTGTTCTGAACAAATAAGGTTAATGACCTGCACCTGACGGCTGTTCCCATGGTGACAGGCTGGTCACCATAAAACTTTTTTTTAAAAGGGGGAATAAACAGAGCACTAGTTTGTTAGTCTAGACCATGTCAAAGTAAAACATTATGTAATAATATGCATTTGCTTTTCAAATATAAACTTTCTAAAATAATTATGTGTTATTTTTATCTTTGACAGATTAAATGAGGCCAGGCATTCTCTGATTGACCCAAGGCCCTTTATTCAGGAGCTACAGAAGGTTTGTAACATTAAAAAATATGTAAGAATGGTAAGGGCAGACTGATAGATAAGAATGTGTAAGATATATATAAAATGAATAAATGAATGAATGACTTAAGTGCAGTGAATGAAGTCTGGACAGAAGTTATGCCTGTGGAGAACTGGGAAGCTTGTATTTACATTAGAAATGTGGGAAGGAGACAGCAGATAGCGGTGGCTACAGTACAGTGGGTACAATGCAGTCTCGACAGAGTTGAGAGTGAAAAACTCATTTGAAAGGTAGAGAGCTGTGTTGCTTAGAGAATTAGAGATTTCAACAGACAGTAGCTTCTAAGCTATCGTCAATTGAAATAGCAGAAAATAATGATGCACGCAATAACAGTACAAAGGGAAAAGCCTATCTATCTAAATTGTAACAGAGAAAAGGTTGTTTCATTGTAAACATATGCAATCTAATGCTCTCCCAATGGAGGAATAGAGACTATACGATGAAGAATGGATGAAAGATGAATGAGTTAATGAATGAATGAATGCATAACATGAATGACATTCATTGCACTTATGCCCAGCTACAAGTACATGGTGATCAAGTTCTATGTACAATAAAAAATAACAGTAATACAAATGTGGTAACTCGGTACATCCATAGTATAAACTTGTACAGGTTTAACTTTGCGCATCTTAACCCTACCTAGACCGGGGGGGGGCTAAAAGTGCCCGCGCCAACTTTGATGTCACCTAGCGTCTGAACGGCTAGCCGTAGAACGACCAAACTTGGTGACTTTTCCTAAAATATTGTTGGCAACAATTCTCTATCATTGGAATAAGATAATAATTTTTGTGTTGCCATGGCAACGGGTTTCTGACAGGCATTTTTTGCTAAATTTAGTACTTTTTGTTTCAACAATAGAATTTTATGAGTTTCATGTCAAGTTACTCATGGTTTCTAATATTAATAACATCCCATATAATTTTATGTAAATTTTATCATTAAATATGCATAATTTATGCTAATTTGATGACGTCATTGGCCAAAATCCAAGATGGCGGACCATATCATTAGAACAGGTATATACGGGTTATTTTCATTAAAATTTCATCAAAACTTCCATTTCTTTTTACGAAAAAGGTTTGAATGAAGGTGTTTAGTATGTTTACAATGTATTTTAGGCTTTATCACGAAAAAAAAACTATTTTTGAAAATTCAAGATTGATGATCCAAGATGGCGGATATCTTAAATATGCATGACGTCATTTTATGACGTCACCAGGTGTTGCTATGGGCAACATAAGACTTAGTACACTAATATTCTGTCATAAACACTTTTGGTAAAGTTATGTTGTATACCAGGGAGGTTTTCAGGGAAAAACCTATTTAGACGGTTTTGGCCAATAAAATCACATTAATGACGTCATAATGACGTCATATTACGTCATAACGACATAAAAATTGTAGATATGATAAATTTTCACTAGTACACCATTCTCTGAAAATTTGGTGGTCATACGACATACCGTTCGCGAGTTCTTAGGGGGG